CACTGAGGACGGAAGGTGCCCGATTGAAGACCCAGATGTCCCCAACTCGGCTCAATCGTGATGGTTGTCATGGTGGTCCACTGGAGAGACCACTGTAGTTGCAGCCGTTGAGTCTGCTGACCCGCCAAGTACACTGCAGCCGTTAACGCCGGACAGAAGATTCACACCACCATATGGAAAGAAGCGTAAATGGATGGAGAAGCATAGTTTACTGTTAAGCTACATCTTAGTTTGTGCTTATCTTGGTGAAAGCCGTGTACAAATCAGCATGAAGTTTTAACATCTACTCTCGTGTAATGGAAATCATTAGTCCTGAGATTCTTTACGTTAGTGAATGAATATATAGACATGCAATCAGTATTTCTATTCACTAATGTCTGGTATTAGAACTTTTGGTAGACGTTTAAGAGCGTTTTTCATCATTAAGATCAAAGACGTTCATGTGGAAATGCATTTTGTTTTGTTATTTCATCTGAAAAAATAGTACGGTGGCCCATTAGTGTAGCCTGGATGCCAGCCAAAACTCCGCCCACAACATTTTTTGGTCGGGAAGTTCGGTCTGGATAGTTTTCCTAACCATTGTTCTATTCAGCAGTCTAAAAAATATATCAACACCACGATTAGTTTTAACAGTATGTACCAAACCATTGTATATCGACATTTATTAATTCAGGTGCATATTTACAGTATACTCCAAAATTTCGTTCACGTGCTACCACAGTGCATCAAGTACAAGTACAAATTCAGGTGACTTTTTTCCAATACCTCTAGTGGTTGGGAGCATTTCCGTTGTGTTGTGGATTATTTTACGTTGTGTTGTGAATTCATTTTGTTGTGTTGTGAACTTATGCTTGCTTTTTTAATTTCGTTGTGTTGTGCACTACTGGGCCACCGTAGAATACAGTCATTAGGCGATAGATTGACGTGCTCGCCTGTATTAGCCACAAGAAAACATTGCCAACAAACATTCAGCATGGTTTCAAAAACAACACATTTCATCACCGGATCACCTCTTATTTAACACAAATGAACGTCAACTGGACATTTTTTCACTTGCATTAGGTATAGCCGCGCAGCGAGAATAAATACATAAATAAGAACATATAAAAAAGAATAAATAATGGTGGGAATAAAATTGACCCTGGTAAAAAGTGCAGGGGACATATCCACCCGCAAATTATGCCTATGCATGCGTCATCATTATATGACCTACCAGCGTCAGTTACGTCGCTTCACTGCCGTTCATAAACCCTCTCCTGATGCCTCATGGGATAGTAAAGTGTCCATCATATGCACACTTCAGAATCTCACTGGAAGTTATTGGTCATCCGGTACTTTATGCCAACACTTTAAGAGTACTATGAATTCAGACATACTTATTATGTCACATACTGTTTTTTACCTACTATATAGCAAGGAAGTATGTGATTTCGGACGCTGCCAAGGATCTCATACGTGTGAATATTGTTGGTGTTACAGCGCTGCAGTTTCAGTGTGGGATTGCGCGTATTGTGCATAAATTGACTCTGCACCCAAAGTGTGTGAACAGAAAGCTGCCTCTCAGCACTAAATTGACTTATTTTTCGATGCTAAATGCCCTTAAACTGTAAAATACACTCATTGCACATGGCGGGTATTCGCATAAACACCTTCAGTTGTGTTTTAAGTGAATTTAAACAGTTGAGAAAGAAATCACGTGTGTAACCATATGATGGATCTGTGAGTCAGGTCTTAAAGTGACAGCAGTCTAATTACGAGATAATATAAATAATATCTATATGGCAATTTTCCCCCATAGTATTAATGTCACAATTGGCTAGCAACTATGGAAAACCACTAGCCACAGTGGCTGGTGAGCAAAAAAAAGTTAATGTCAAGCCCTTTTGGTCAACATGAACCTCAAGGAATCTGCATCACAACATCATCCATGTACCTGAAGCATGTGCACACGTTGGTCAGAGAGGAATAGATGCAATTAAATATGTACATGCTTATTGTGTTTTTTTGCAATTAAAATCAGCATACGCCACATATTTGACTACAATTGAGGTTGTTACGATTATGAGTTCAATCACTTTAGTGTGATCAAAGTATGAGGTAAAGTTTAAATGCTATATTGCCATTATAATCGCATTATGACCTGGATACTGGAGTGTTCATGTCATGATTAGTTGAGTCTTGAATAACAGAGGATGTTGTTGTGTGTGTTGTGTGTCCCTGCAGGTGCGCAGTGGGTAACAACTGGTGGCATTACGGCGACAGATGCCAGTTTAAGAGCTCTGCCCAAAACAACATCATCACTGCCGTACTGGCGTCTGTCGTGGTGTTTGTCGTCATGTTGATCGTGACGATAGTCAGCGTGGTCTGTGTGAAGAAGCACCAGAGGAAAGTACGGTTTGCTGGAGAGGGAATCACCATGAAAAACATGCACTCGTCCAGTGCATGAGGATCTGATGCGTTTCTCTAAAGGCCCGTTCACACCAACACAGAAGACTATACGTATAACTGTGAGCATTAGCGCGCACACTAGCGGACGACGCCGTTCTTCAGTTCATCGTTCATCAGCAGGAGAATGCTGTTATAGTTGTGGTGTGGACTCGGATCCTCTTTTATATTTAGAGCGATTTTTAAGTCAAGTCACCGTTATTTCTATAGCGCTTTATATACAATACAGATTGTTTCAAAGCGGCTTTACAGTGATAACAGGAACATCATGCATTTCGGCTGTTGTTCAGCTGAAGTCAGTTCAGTGTTGATTCAGTTCCGTTGTAAAGATCATCAATTATTAAATTAGTTCATTTCATCTATAAAGCAGTTCTGCGAAAAATTGTAATCGCTCAGTTCAGTTCTCATACAACAGCGTCAGCGCAGTCAGATCAATAATATCGTTGAGCAAGCCAGAAACTCAAACTCCGTCAGTAACTGAATGGAGGAAAAAAGCTTGGGAGAAACCAGGAAACTCCTTTGGCCAACGAACGAACAGTGTGATTATGATTCAAACTGCTTTGAGAACTATATCATTATCAGTATAGTTATCATCCTTGGTGTGAACGGGCCTTAATGTGTGTTTTACAGAGAATGATTCATGCTTTAATAATTGATTCGTTGATGTAATTAATAGGACAAGACGTGGTTTGTTTATTGGCCCCAAAAAGCATTTGTTCACTGTCACTTATAATAAAACGTCTGATAAAGAACCAGGGTAAGAAACACATTTCTAATATCAATGAAACCTGGTTGAGACTAATAAGACTCTTTATTAATTCTTCCTGACAGTTTTTCCTTGAGGTTTAATTCATTTTTTCCAAATAAAATATAACAACTAAAGTTTAAGATGTTTCACATCTGTTCCAGTTAGAGAAGTTTTGGTTACACTTTGTTTTAAGGTCAGTACTGAGTAATATTAATGAACTACATGTACTTACCATAGAGTTATGGTTAAGGGTTTTAGGGTTAGTTACTTGTAACTATGCACAATTTACTGTAATAGCAAGAGTAAGTACATGTAGTAATGTGTAACTACGTCACCTTAAAATAAAGTGTTCAAAAAATGTTCTGACTCTCGCTATTGTTGATGCACTTGCATCATTGTCTGTATATTACTTTTAATTGTTAAAATTGAGATTTAGGCATCATAATAATAAGCATACGTTACAATAAAAATCACAATTCATTAGTCATTCACAGTTGTTAATATTTTAAGGGATTTGCAGATCCATGTAGTCAGATGGACAATTAAACATTTACTTGAACTTTGGATTCAAGTTTATAAAAAAAATTAAAAATCACATTTTAATTTTACTGTCAGATGGACAATTAAACATTTAAGGGAATATCAAAAATATATTGATACAAATATTTTTCTGTTAGTCTGCATTTTGACACTCCATGTTTTTCTCCTGTGCTAGTTATCACTTTGTCAACTGCAATGCATGAAAATTGAACTTAAGCATGTAATTGACCGTTGTTCCTCTTAGCAGCATGAAAAACAAAACTTTAATTCAATGGATTATAGAGGCTATAGCTTCGAAAGAGTGCTCCCTTTACAATCACTAGACAGTTTTCTCAGTTCGGGATCTCACAAAGTTCCATTAAAATCAGTGAAGTTGTCTACACTGCAAAATTGATCTCTTTCTGGCAAATCATGTCTTTGTTTATTATTGAGAGGATCCGAGAGTGTGCAGAACTTTGGTGAAAACGTTGGCGTTTTGAGCGTTGAGTGAATTCTAACTTTCTGAACAGTCATTGCGTTCAAGATATCAACAAACTTGATCTCTTGGGGACCCCTGCACCCATAAGACCCTATATATTATTTGAGCATACTTACCTCTGTATATTACAGGTTTTACAATCACTAGGACCACACAGTTCTCCTAACCAACTTTTAACTTGTCAGAGCAGTTAATTTCACATTCAAATGCACTAAAACTACCAAAACACTTCATACACACGTGTCTCAAATCAACTCATTCTTATATAACACTAGCTAAAGTTGTCATCCAAAAAACAATGACATAAAAACACTGACAACGGGTGTTTTCTTTAGTAAAACTTCTTTACAAAACAAGAATTGCACCACTCTGCTGTTTAGAATTCGCTACATGTTTACATTACAGTACAAAATTATTCCTACGTTTTTTGCCTTTTGTATAGATGGTAATGAACTTGAAAGAAGTAGGTGTTTATCCACATCTAATTGTATTGATAGGATTCCATTTTATAGATTAGAAATATATATGGTATTACTGTAGAAATGTAGCGCATTTTGTAGCTGTGTCGAAGTAGGAACATAATGAATGTAAAGAATCCAGTTTGTTTCACAAAGACTGCTGTTGTGCTCACTGTGTGGAGAGAAAGGTGAGCTAAATATTGAGAAACTGGTCCTAGTGATGGTTAAAAAAAACCTGTAAACTGGGATCCATTGAAAAATGTATAAATATAATATAAAACTATATTATTTCAAACACTCATATCACAAAGCACCACAAGAAAGGCTACTGTAGAGTCATAAATTTAAGATTTATTGTAACAAAACCAGGAACTGTTTGTGTGGTTGGTTTGAGCATAATTTCTTACAGATAAATTGGATTGCATTACAGGACTTGACACAGTCATGCTGGTGTAAAGAGGCGTATGAGTGTGTGTATGTGTGTGGCTCATTGATCAGCAAGTGATGACAGCACTGGGCAGAATGCACAGTTCATTTACAACTGGTTCGTGTGTGTATCTGTTTCTGATACATATACATCTATTGGCATGTATGCATAAAGGGTCATCTTGTTCTAGACACACAGTTCCCTTAAAAAGCATTGGTATACAATATTTTTCTTATTTACAATCATTGGAAAGAGAAAAAGAAACAAAAACAAAAAAAAAAATCACCATTTCTCGCAGAGAAGATTAGTAAAAAGTGACGAAGTCACCATAAAAGAGTAAGCAACTCCTAGGAGTTAGTCTTTCAAATTTCCACTAAATTTCTAGTTTTTATACAGGCCCGAAGCCTTGATTTACTGAAGAGATACAGTATTACTTTAAGTGCCCTATCTACAACAGTTAAGCGTGGTATTACTAGTGTGTACCGTACAACACAATTTAATGTCAACACAATCTTCTGTTTTTAAATCAACTTAAAGTCTGTTGTAGCTTCTCTCACATATGGTAACTAATAAACAAAATCAAAATATCCAGAGACTTGATGTTGGTAAATGACAAGTTAACATCGCAATAATAGTGTTGAATTATATAGGTATCGGTTTAAGGTAAATAAAAAAGTTAAAACAGTCAGTAATCAGTAGTGAACTGCTCTTAAAACTCAAGTGAAATGGGTGAGGCACGGTAGAGTCCAGGTCACTCTTGTGTTCTCTTAAAGGGATAGGTTGAGATCTTGGTGGACTTTGGGGGAAGTGGCGTCATAATACGTTGTCCTATTTGGCCCAGTCTCGTGACCTTTCAGAGCCGTTGTAGGTAGATTACTCACAGCTTCATATTGGTTGACTGCAGTAAAGCAGAATATACTCCACTTGAGTATTGAGTGAACATTCAGTCATCATCCACTCAGCCTCATGTTGTTCTGACTGATTTACTCATAAGTGGCGGCATTGGTGCAAGAAATGCTGTCAGAGTACGTCAGTATTGGGTAACTGTAAGAAAGCCAACGACATGAAGGTGAGTAGATGATGGCAGAATGCAACGACTCCTTCAGAGCGGCGTGTCGTAGTAGTCCGCAGGTCGCTCGCTCTTGGCCGGCCTCTGCTGGTCCTGCTGATGTTGTTTCATGATCTCCTTCACCTCCTCTTCCAGCTCTGGAGGTATGATGAACTGGTCGTCGGGGTCGGGTTGAGCGGGGGCCGTGAAATAACCCCCAGATTTCTTGGAAGGAGCCTCGGCCACCTCAATCAAGTTGTGGCTCTGCTCCTGCGGCGCCACCGAGCCGTTCCCCCTTCGCTTCCCCAAGGTTTTGCTCCAAGAATCAAAGTTCCCAATTTTGTCCGCCTCCAGCACAGGCTCCGGAAGCTTCTCTGGGGTTTCTGGTGTGCAAGGTGGAGGTGGCGGAGGCAACAAACAGTGGACGTCAGCCTCCACTTCCACTTGACTGCCGTTAGAGAAGACGCCAGCAATGGGCTCCTCGTCCTCGCTGTCCAGGCCGTTGTCCGAGAGTGCGCTGGAAAAGGTGGCGCTGGAAAGTTGCCTCTGGAAGGAGCCGCTGGCATTGGGCGCTAGGTGGAGCGAGCAGCAGGGCAGGCGCGGGTTTAGCTGCGGCGCGTGGCTCTGCGGATGGAGGTGGATGTGCGAGTCCTGCAGGAGGAGAGGCGGCTCGTCCGAGGACGCGGTGGATCCCACTTCGGAGCTCATCTCGGAAGCGCTGACCTCGGAGCTGATCTCGCTGCAGGAGGACGGGGGCACGCCCGCAGAGGAGGCCGGGTACAGGCCCGGCCGGGGCTCGGCGGGGGCTGTGGCGGCGCGTGGATGCTTTCGGACGCCGAGCAGCAGCAGCAACAGCAGTCCTCAGCCACGCTGAGCTGCACCACCACAGCGCTCAGGCTGTCCGTGCAGCCGTACGACTGCGCCAGGGTGCACAGCTTCTTGGCAGCCGCCAACGCGTCGGGGACCTTCCGAACGGCCTCCACCGCCTCGCTGGGGTCCATGACGTCGAAGAGACCTCTGCTGCCCAGGATGAAGAACTCATCTCTGGGGGTCAGCGGGAGCGTGTTGACGTACGGCCGAGGCAAGACTGCCGGATAGAGGAATGAATAGCCCATGATGCGGGTGGAGTCTGTTACGCCGTTCACTTTGTTGTCCTGTTTAAGAAGAGGAATTTGCCGAAGTGGCGCACTTTGGTGAGTGAACATAGCTCTTTGTTAATAATTATAGTAAAACGATGTTCAAAGACTGTGTTTGTGTGAGTTAAAGGAATGGTTCACCTCAACATTCAACCTCAAATCTGTGTGATTTTTCTTTTTTTTTTAAGTTTGACGAATCGTTTAGCTGTTTTAACCAGTCACTGGGACATTCAGCAGTTTCAAGCCCCAAGAAGCATATGCTTTAAAAGTAGGGTAAAAGTGGTTTCATCCAGGTCATCTGAAGGGATATGATTGCTTTGCATGATGAACAGAGCAAAATTTAAGTTCAATTTAAATTTGACTTTCACTGTTACACATTGATTGCTGCTTCAGAGGAGTTGTACGGATAACTTTCATCAGATCATTATGTCCTTTTGGAGGTTGAAGCTGCTGGATTATTATTGTACAGACAAAAAGAGCTGAAAGATTTTTCAAATATCTTCTTTTGTGTTTCACAAGAAGGAAAAAAAATGACATGGGTAAGGGCATGATGAATGATAACAGAAATTGACTTACTCGGTGAACTATCCATTTAACTTCTATAAAAGCAAAAGATAAGCAAAATCTACCTTAGAGTCAACATGAAATGGCATTTCACTTCCTTAATGTGACTTTCTTCAACGAGAAAGGACAGGCTTTTAGTTTCTCACAGTGAATTGGTGTGCTGATGCATTTCATATCAGAATGGAGTCAGAGCTGAATGTGAGCAGCCAGGTACCCCTATGCTAACGCTATTTTCAAATCAGTGCTTATTTAACCAGCATTCAATCGCCGCAGTAACTATTGGCGAGATTTTACAATGGCAACAGCCTCAACCTAAGGGTGTGCGATATTGACAAAAATGATATCTCAATACTTTTTACATTTAATAAGACACTATATTGCTGTTACCAATCAAATGAAATCAGTATCAACAAAAAGCCATTTTTGCACTGTATAAGTGGCACAGAAGCTGCATCTAAAGCAGCATTTATTTACACTGCAATTACATTATAAATAATGCTATGAGATTCATTTATTACATAAAACACCAGTAGGCGGCAGCAAGTCATGTCTTAACTTAGCGAACCGTGAGTTTGATTTTCAACAATTCTGATTTATTCAGGAATTAAGCAAGTGTCGTAAGTCGCCCCAGCGTGCATGATATACAGTAGTCAACATTTGAAGTGGATCAAAAAAGTAAATCAAAGTTGTCCTACTACAAGAACGGGTATTGTTCATAATTCATGTATAACTTTGATGAAAGGTTTTGATCCACTTCAAATGTTGACAAGTGTATATTTTAAATAGTATGTGTGTTTTCAAATGCATAGTACGTTGAAAAGTGAATGCCAAAAGTCTCCGGATGGTCTTCTATTTCCGGTAGATTTTCAAAGCGTGGATCTCTGCACACACTCGGCTAATATTGGCCACAACCCTTTGTGCTTTAAAAGAGGATTTGGTTCAGAACTACAAAAATTAATAAAAAGAACTACAGGTATGGTGGATGTGCGTGAAACCAACGGTTAAGTATAGACCCCCTGAAAGGGTTTTGATTTAGCAATATCTAGCCCGATGAAAATATGTTTGTCATATGTGTTATATCATCTGCAACAACATTGTGAACTTGTATTAAGACACAAATAGCACAATCGCAAGACGTTTAACTATTAAATGCATAATTTTGCACAAAAAAAAAAAAAAACATGAGCAGAGTTCTCCACAATTTGCAGATCAGTAGGAAGAAGTGTGTGAGTAGCATAAATGTAATATAATAAAATGTGTTTATGAGGATGTTAACTGTGACAGGATGATTGACAGGGCGATTTACGGTGACAGAACGCACATAACTTTTTTGACGTGGTAGTTCGCCCCAAAGCTTGCCTACTCTTCTGCAACACACTCCACAGTATATATTTTTTCTTCACAAAGAGAGTACATACCGTACATACTTAGCATAGTACAGGTAGGCAAATTGGGAAGCAGCATCCATCTTTATGAATGGTTGATTCGTTCAAAAACTCTGTTTCAATTCTGAATGAATCAGTGTGTTGATCGGACACAAAGAGTTTGTGAGTGTGTTCGGAAAAGGCAAAATATAGCAAAAAAGTAACTAAAATTTACTTTTTCTTGTTTAAAATCAACATCACATTTGCAATGCTGCTGATATTCATGTTAATTTGCTTAGCTATATCTAGTAGGACTTGTTATGGCATGTTTTTGTTTGTTTTTTTGCAAAGTGAGTGAAAAATACTCGATAATGTCAGCTTTCACGTCGTTAAAACAACAATTATCCTATTTTTGTAAAAGCACACCTCTACCTCAAACAATGACTACAGAACTAATCGACTGTGCAGACTCTTATAACATTTTGATGCAAAGAGACATTGTTTTTCTATGGAATAACGTGCACAGATGAATAGAATAGTTCGCAATAAGATCGGGAACAGTGAAACAAACTTTCATTTCATGTTGACTTTAATGCCAGAGGGAAGCGTTCCTCATACCTCAGTGATGATGGCTTTATGCTGTCGCACGCGGTCGTATTCCTCCTTGATGCTGATGTTGTGGAGCAGTGACAACGGGAGCGCCTTGCCGTCGCGACACAGCACGGCCTGACACTTGCCCACGTTGGCGGAGGTCAGGGTGAAGCAGCCAGCGGGGTCTGTGGGGTCGTGACGGATGTGACAGAGCGCTGCCGAACCGCCCAGCTTCTGCCCTGCAGTGCCTAACTTACTATTAAATGGAGAGGGAAAAGAACAGACAGGTTTAGTATTAATCAAAAGCTCTCATTACCGATTGTCACCAGACCGCTTATTACGCGTGCATTTACCGTTGCATGACCAGGAAGGTGTTGGTCATGTAGTCTTCCTCACTCTTGGTCCTGTGCAGTTCTTCTGCCAGTATGTCGTTCATGGTGCACTGAAGTAAATACGGCACCTCCACGTTCCTGTCGCCGTCGAACACACCGTACAGAGCTTCTCTACTGCCGCAGAAGCTGTTCACAGACAGCGCAGCCACACACAGTCTGGGCAACGCAAACAGCACACGTCAGACACTCAGAAAGCGTTCACACACAGGATCTCTGAAGTCTGTAATCCGGTGGTCACTCACTTGTTTTTGACGCCTGAGGCTTCGGTGTAGCCGTGACTCCAGACAGCGGGCCCTCCTGCGCTCTCATTGGCTGAGAACGACGAGGGAGGCGGATCGATTCGGAAACAGCGGATGTTACTGGGAGTTGAAAGACGTGATCATGTGTTATCAAATATGAATTTCTTACAGTAAGCTGAAAGCACACGTCAAGTCACCTTTATTTATGTACAATACAGATGGTTGCAAAACAGCTTCATAGTAATAAACGCAAAAATAATATTTATTTTACAACATCAAAGGGATAGTTCACCCAATAATGAAAATGATCCCATGATTTACTCACCCTCAAGTTATCCTAAGTGTTTATGATATTCTTCTTTCACACGACTATAATCGGAGTTATATAAAAAAAATGTTATTGCACTTCCAAGCTTTATAATGGCAATGAATGTCCATAAAAGTGCATCTGTCCATCATAAACAAACTCCACATTTAAGGATGACTTCAGGGTGAGTAAATCATGGGCTAATTTTCAGTTTTGGGTGAACTAGCCCTTTAACACTTTCCTGTTTATTTATGTGAAGCTGGTTTGAAACAATACTAATTGTCACAATAGAAATAAATGTCACTTGAATACACAAGAAATATTGGTTTGACTTCAATTTTAATACCTGTCATCATGACATAAAATTATCAAAAAGGAAACTGCAACTGCAGTACAATTTGTTGTTTTTGTTTTCTTGATGGAATTGGACACTTCTGAGCTTCAAAGCTGTTCATCATAAAAAATATTAATGAAGTTGTCTGAGGTCAAACATATTTCCCCCCAAATAAAGACAATTCAAATATTATGTCAGACAAAAACACTGGACAGATATTTTAAAAAAAGTGGCTTTTCACGCTACATCAAGTGAAAGAACAAACTTCTAGAATTGGAAAATCCCTTTTTGGAAAATATATATTTTTGTGCATCATCTTTGTAATTAATCTCACTAAACTATTGTGTTAATTTGACAAAAAAAAAAAAAAAAATCAGTTTCATAATTGCTGAGAAATATGTACACCTGGGAAAATTCTCATTTATGGCATTAACAGAGCATGCACGTGTCCCCTTACTTGAGCTGCTCCAGGGTCTTGTGGTCCAGGTTCAAGCGCAGGTTTCCTGTTAGATCCAGCTCCTGGAGTTTGGGAGGTAGACTCTCCGGTAAGGTGATCTCACTCAGCTCATTACAGCTCAGATCCACACACTGCATACACAACACAAGCGCAAATATATGAATGCCGTCTCGGACAGTAGGATGTTTGATCGTCTGATAGTGGTTATTCGATCTAACTGCAGTGATGAGATGAATTTCAATCACATTTAAAAAAAAAACACATTGTAAATTACATAAAAGATAGTCAAGGGGTTTTGTGGGTTTAATCAGACTGCATTATTAATGTATTTGGATTACACTAGCTATGTTTACATCCAAATATTGCATAAATGTTTGCGAATAAAGCACTATTTCCATCCAGTGAGTCAAGAGAACAAAACTAAATATCACTAATGCGTCTCAGTGCACCCAGACGAACCACAATAAACGTGTTATCTTGCTTTGGGATCCAGATTTTGCTGTTTGGGAACACAGTCATGTTACAGAGAGTTCAGGGTTCAAGTCCCCCTGCAATCAATAATTTTATCCCTTAAAACTCATCTTTGATCCCCAAAGTGACATTTTTCCTCGCTCCTTAAAATAGCTTGAACGTAACTCTACACCCTTGCCTCATTTAATATACGCGGTTCTGTGAATATACAAAACAGCCCCGCCTCCACTCACTCGCACGAGCTCAGAAATCCACTAGTTGACGATCACACGTTGATCTGATTGGTTTCAAGTTAGTTTGTGACGTCAGAAACACCAGCGATTGGTTCAGTTTTAAGCAGAAATACTCAGCAATGCTGTCGACTTATGAATTTACACATGGTTTGTCTCAAAGCAAATTAAAAACACCACATAAACATATAAACAACATTAAAAACTCAATCTGTATGATAATTAATAGCCAGCACAAAATTCATGATTGTGACAGGCTCAGTGCTCAGGGAAAACACACGTCCAAAATAATCCATAACTAGGGTTGGGTATCGAGAATCGAGTATCGATTGGAACCGAGACTAATTTTTAGTTTTTCCCGGAATCGTTCAAAAGTTCAAATTTCAATTCCTAGTTTCGATATTCACAGTCCGCCGAGCTGAAGAAGAAACCGCTGAACAACACCAACGAAGAAGCGTCTACCGGAAGTGTTGGTATAACCGCGCGAGTCGAACATGAGTACCTTACGTCGGCGATCCAAAGTGTGGCTTCACTTTTCTAAAAATAACGAAATCTCGGCAAAATGCAAAATTTGTGACAAAAGGAGTATTTTTACAGAAGGAGTATTTCCTTCAGAAAGGCCGTTGGTTAGCAAGGTTAGCTAAACTTTTTTGACCCTGCCTCTTAAAAGAATCTGAATCGAGAATCGTTAGGAACCGGAATCGAAACAAGGAATCGGAATCGGAATCAGAATCGTTCAAATTCAAACGATACCCAACCCTATCCATAACATAATTTACATAACTCATTTTCAACATCACACAGGAAAGTTTTGGTGTCCTGCAGTACTGTTGCTTCTGGTGTGGACAGTAGGGTTGGAAACGGAGAAAATCTCACAACTGAATGACTTTCGTGGCACAATTTGTTTTTTGGGCACACATCGTTATGCCACAAGTTCTGCCCACGGACAGAAATGAGTGAATTAAAGCTAGTTTTTCAACTGAAATGTAGTGATGAACACTGAAAACGAGCACACAGCGTGAGTGATCTGACCTTCATCTCCATGAGCTGCATGACCTCGGGGAAGACCTCGATGCAGTTGGAGTGAGCCACCAGCGTGTGCATGCGCCTGCAGTTCAGGATGGTGGTAGGCACCGCCTTCAGCCTGTTCCCACTCAGGTCCACCTCCTCCAGCTCCTCCAGCTTGGCCATTTTACTGCACAGCAGACAATATTGATTTGCTGAATGTACTGAATATAATATACTGTACATACACACATACTGTATTCTATGAGACTGAATTTCAATGGGATGAGCTTAATGTGTGTGTGTGTGATATTCGGCATGCGTCACGCCGATTAAGCAGGTCATTGTAATTGAGATTTTTTTTTTTAAATGAGTAATCAAATTTAATCGAGCAAATAACAGTTTACACCTGTTATTTAATCCATCTACTTTGTCCATTTTCATCTATTTTGTCCGTTTACTCCTGTATTTAGCGCCGTTCACTTCCGACCCGATCAACCAAAACGCATCTTAATATCAGGAGTAAACAGGGCCATAGATGTGACCTTAGGCTATCAACAGTATTTTCAAGTGTGTGTGTATAGTAGCTTTAGTCTGGGAATAAATTTGGACGTCTTTATTATTCAATTATTGATATCTAAACACATGTTTGAGAGTGTCACCTGGCTGGGAAGGTCTGCAGGTGATTGTAGGCCATGTGCAGGATCCTCAGGTGTGTGTGTCCCGTCAGCTGAGGCACACATTTGTCCGTCAGGTGGTTGTTGGTCAGATAAAGCTCTTGTAAGATACTACTGCTCTCTTCTGACAGACTGGATGCTGGGAGATTCTCCAGCTTGTTGGCTGACGCATTCAGACACCGTAAACTGAAGACAAATCACGTGTTATTGACAGGGAGTTACGGACAGTCTCGCTCGAATGCAATACGTTCAAACGCTAACAATCAACTTCTGAAACACAAAAGCCCTTAGTAATGGCTTTTTCAAAGTTCAGAGTTTTTCTTTTTTTTACTGGTTTAGGGGGTGTTTACACGACACTGCTTTCAACTACATTTTGATAACGTTGTCATCTGTATGCGAAACATTTCACAAAGTACAAGGGAATTTTTTTTTTTTTTGGTACATCATTGCCGTGTAAAACTAGTGTCCACCAAAGCGTTTTTCCACACGCCTGGCATAGGTTTTCAATTATTTTCAATGGGAGCGCCGCATTTTTTAAACGCCATGAACGTAACGAGGCGCTGAGCGTTTTTTTCACACTGAAGCGCCGAGCGCTTTTTTTACTGGTCGCAGAGAGTTGAAAAATGTTCAACTTTGGATAAAACGCAGCGCTCATCACTGTCACTTTTTACCCAGCCGTCCAATCACAGTGGAGGAGGGGCGGGACTAATACCACACCGACCAACTGTCACAACATTCTCTCTGTACAACGACATCAACCAGCAGAGCTAACCGAACAAAATGGATGAAAAATACATTTTTAGTATGAAACAAATTATCTGCAAAATCAGTTTAGAGTAAACTGTGCTGCGGGTATTCTGTATCATAGCAACGAAACGTCTCAACGGAAAAATACGCTGCACTGCCAAAACGCTCTCAAGCACCCAAAGCACGGCATCTTCAGCAGAGCATCTGGCGTTTTCAGCTGGCTAAAAATGCTTTGGTGGACACACTGCCTTAGTTTGCAGTGCACACGGGACCAAACTAGATCCTCCCATTCATATAAGATTACAAAAAAAGATTAAAATTCATTAACTACAGTTCAAAAGTTTGGTATACGTTTAAGTTTTTTACAGTTTTTTTTTTAAAGAAATTAATGCTTTTATTCAGCAAGGATCCTTTAAATGGAACAAACCCGACAGTAAATACATTTATAATGTTACAAAACATTTCTATTGCAACTAAATGTTGTTGTATTCAACTTTTTGCTCATCAAAGGATCCTGTAAAATATGTATCACCATTTACATAAAAATATTAAAGGGTTAGTTCACCCAAAAATGAAAATTAAGTCATTAATTACTCACCCCCATGCTGTTCCAACCCCGTAAGACCTTCGTTCATCTTCGGAACACAAATAAAGATATTTTTGATTGAATCTGAGAGCTGGATCAGTCCTATATAGACTGCCTAAGGGACTGGCTCTTGACGGCCCATAAAGTCATTAAAGAAAAGGTTTAAATATTCCATGTGCCTACAGCGGCTCAATTATAAGTTTATCAAGCGACGAGAATACTTTTTGTGCGAAAAAAACATAAATAACGGCTTTATTCCACTATTCCATTACTTCCTTATTGGCGCATGCGCGAGAACTGAGACGAGGACGTTCTCCTTCAACTTGTTACCGGCTGCTCACGGCTTAGGAGTTTTACCGCCACCTACCGTATAAGATGATGTGCTGATATAGCTGGAAGCGCAAAACTTTCTGTTTACAAGCAGAGGAAGATGCGCGCTGTACATACGCTTTTCAATTAGTGTATTTTCCGCACTATAAGGTGCACTTAAAAGCCTTTAATCTTCTCAAAAAAACGACAGTGTGCCTTATCATTACCTTATACGGTAGGTGGCGGTAATACTCCTAAGCGGTGAGTAGCCGGTAAAAAGAAGTAGTCAAAGGAGAACCGAGGAGAATGTCCTCCTCTCAGTTCTCGCGCATGCGCCCATAAGGAAGTAATGGAATAGTCGAATTAAGTCGTTATTTATGTTTTTTTCGCACAAAAAGTATTCTCGTCGCTTGATAAACTTATAATTGAGCCGCTGTAGGCACATGGAATATTTAAACCTTTTCTTTAATGACTTTATGGGCCGTCAAGAGCCAGTCCCTTAGGCAGTCTATATAGGACTGATCCAGCTCTCAGATTCAATCAAAAATATCTTTATTTGTGTTCCGAAGATGAACGAAGGTCTTACGGGGTTGGTACAGCATGGGGGTGAGTAATTAATGACTTAATTTTCATTTTTGGGTGAACTAACCCTTTAAGCATTATTGGTTTTCAACATGGATGATAATAAGAGTGATTTCTGAAGGATCATGTGACTGAAGAGTGTGTTGGTGTTTCACCTGTCTGATTTCAGGAAGAGATTACATGGAAGCTCGATGAGATGATTGTGCTGCACATCCATCACCTCCACGACAGGGCGCTCCACTCGCTCCGGCAAACGCTTCAACTGGTTATGACCGGCCAGGATCTTCCTCAAACTGCCACTGCACAGCAACCTGATGGTGGAGATTACAGGGAGGTCAGTGTGGCAGTGCAGAAGCTCACATCAAACACACACACACACACACACGTTGTGTTTTCATGTTTTATGGGGACTTTCCACAGACAACATCAACATTGGCTTAGCTTTTCAGAACTGAGGGATTTGAAATGTTGTAAAAACGATGCAGAGATGACATTTTTATTACTCAACAGGTGAGTAATGTCTTTTATTCAACAGATAAATTGCCATATGTAGCTATGAGTCCACCCCCCCCCCGAGATTACTGTTATAAACATGAGCCTAGTCTGAAAGGCAAAGGGGGAGGTTTTACTGTAATTTATAGTAATATCTTCAGTATTACTTGGAGCGAGGTCTAGTTTCAAGTATACTTCTTTTGACGTGTTAGTGCTTAATGAAACATTATCTAGTGTAAGTGATAAATCCTGTTTGACATTTTTGCTGGCTACTGTTTACAGGCCACCAGGGCACCATACAGACTTTATCAAAGAATTTGCTGACTTTCTATCAGTTAGTACTGGCTGCAGATAAAGTCCTGTTGGTGATTTTAATATCCATGTAAATAATGAAAAAGAGGCATTGGGATTGGCATTTACAGACATTCTAAACTCTATAAGAGTTAAACTTGATTATTGCGTAGGCAACACGCGTCAGGAGGACTCACTCATTGTTTTAATCATACTTAATATCCAATATTGTCACATGGAATCAATGAAATTCTGCAGCAGAGCGATGACATCTCAGATCATTATCCAGTCTAGTGTAAACTCCATTTAGCCTAGGCTTCAGAACAAACTCCCCGTTACAAATATGTTATCACTTCTGCCACTAAAGATTGCTTTATAATTGCTTTATGCTCTTCGGCATACCAGATAGCTTAGAAGAACTCGATGTTGAAACAGAAAATATTGACTCTCTCTTTTTCAGAACTTTAGACAGTTGCTTCTTTGTGCTGAATATTGAAGAAAATAGTCTGACGTCATGGTATAACAAAATAAATAAATAAATAAAATTAGAAAAAATGAAGTATTTCGCATTTTGTGGAAGGAAAGTGTTATTGCATACAGAAAGGCCTTAAAAACTGCAAGATCTGCTTACTTTTCAACTCTCTTAGAAGAGATCAAACACAAGTCTAGGTAGTTATTTGATACAGTGGCTAGATTAACGAGAAATAAAGATTCAACTTCAGACATTTCCTAACTGTAATGACTTTACGAATTTCTTTACTTGCAGTCTACAACAGTATCGCATCAGACAGTGCTTTGTAGTGTCCCTACTATTCACTCAATTAATTAATAGTTCTCAATAGTAACAACATTTCTAAACTCGTTAAATCATCAAAATCAACAACATGTATGTTCTACCGACTAAGCTATTGAAATAAGTACTTCCAGAAGTTATACATCCGCTTCTTAATATCATTAATTCATCATTTTCATTAGGATATGTACCAAAAACTTTTAAGCTGGCTGTTATTAAACTTCTTATTAAAAAAATGTAACTTGATCCTAAAGAATTAGTCAATAACAGACCGATCTCGAATCTACCTTTTCTGTCAAAAATACAAAATAAAGGCAGTGTCCTCGTATCTATGTTTCTTTTTAAAAAGAAATTATATCTGCAAGGATTTCTAGTCAGGATTTAGACCGTACCATAGTCCTGAGACAGCTCTCATTAGTTACAAATAATTTGCTCTTATCATCAGATTGTGGTTTCATCCGATCTCCTCTCTATTAGTGTTACTTGATCTTAGTTCTGCATTTGATACTATCGACCACAACATTCTTTTGAATACACTTGAAAATTGAATTGGCATTAGTGGAATTGCATTAGCATGGTTCAAATCATACTTGTCTAACCGTTATCGGTTTATAGCAGTAAATAAAGATGTCTTATCGATCATAAGTTCAGTATGGCGTACCACAAGGCTCAGTACTAGGACCGCTGCTGTTTAATCTGTACATGCTGAGATATCATTAGGAAGCATGGCATTAGTTTTTCCTGTTATGCTGATGATACTAAACTCAATATTTCTTTTCACCCTGACAAAGCATACAAATTCACTAAATTAACGGAATGCATAGTTAACATAAAAATGTCCTACTAAATTCTGAAAAACCCAGTGATTTTAATTATTGAACAAAAAAAACCAAAACACACATAATAAACTAGAATACTGTCTAACAATTGATGGCTGCTCTGTCAAGTGTTTGTCGTCAGGAACCTGGGTTTGCTCTTTGATACCAATCTTTCATTTGAAAGACATATTTACAATCTGTAAAACCACACTTTTCCATCTTAAAAAATTATCTAAATTACGACATATGCTCTCAATGATAAATGCCAGAAAGTTAGTTCAAGCGTCCAAGGCTAGATTATTGTGATGGGACCACTTATGGGTGGTTGCCCTGCACACATAATAAACAAACTCCAGCTGGTCCAAAACGCAGCAGCTGGAGTTCTCACCAGAACCAGGAAGTATGACCATATTAGCCAGGTTCTGTCACACAGACACACTTTGTCAGTTTAAATCTAGACTAGAAACACATCCCTTTAACCTAGCATACACATAACACATGATCAATTTCTATTATTTTAACAAGTTAAATGATTGTTAGGCTGCATAAATTAGGTCAACCGGAACCAGGAACACTTCCTATAAAACCCAATGTACTTGTTACATTGTAAGAAGAATGGCATCCACAATAATATTAGTCTCTCTGTCTCGTCCTCATCCCGAGGTTACCGTAGTCAGCCGGATCCGGTCCATATCCAGATCAGATGGTGGACCTGCACCAAGACACGACCAAAACGCAGCCCTGAATGTCAGCAGAGACCGTGTCTACTAGACAATCCCCCTTTGGTCGCCACGACACCCATCGGCACAGATCCTCAGCAAAGACCACGAGAACCAGACAGGTCCTCCGCACAGACCCTATGGCCAGCTTTGGCTCCATACCGGCGTGATGATTCGATCTTCAAGCAAAAGGAACTGGATGAATATTTAAATCCAGGACAAATGCTCATTCTCTCTCTCTGGTCTTGCAGCCAGCACTGCAGTAGCAGCTTTGCTATTTCTACAGTCCCCTTTTTCTTTTATAACACGAAAAACTTTATTTTTGATTGGCAGGCTTCACTCTTTGTGTCCTTTATGTTGCTTCCCTAGAGCCAGGTTTGTAACACTACTGATCCCTATCTGAATTCTGACTTCTGATGCTGCCAGAATCATAAAATCACACCGTGTTTGTTCGTTGGCCAGGGGAGAACTGCCTCTGGCTTGCTTAGTTGGGACACTTAATATTCAACAATATTATTGACACTATTATATGAGAACCGAACTGACACGGCTGTATGAGAACTGAACAGAACAATGGCAATTTTTCTTCCAGAACTGCTTTATAGATGAAATGAACTAATTTAATAATTTATGATCTTTACAACGGAACTGAATCAACACTAAACTAACTTCAGCTGAACAATAACGAAAATAAGACATGTACTTGTAATTTTTTCAGTTTTTTCCCACACTCAATGACTCATGAAGTCTACTACAAGTTTAATAAACTAGTGTTTTCTGAGTCAGTGTTGGTGGCAAAGATGAAAATGACGATGCTGACTCGTCATCTCTGCAGTATAGTAAACGCTCGCACGCCTGTAGAGAGAAATGCATCTTTCATTTGGAGAGTATTTGTTTTCGAATTGGTCAGTTTAAAGTAGACGTTTCAAGCTTTCAGGCCTATTTCTCATGTCTGTGAGTCAAGTATCCTATACGCTGAGTTTCAGTTCATTTGTGACACGCTCCAGTTCTTCTTGCTGTCGAAGATGGAGCAACTTTCTGCTCCTAAGTTTATTCCATCCACTGTCAAACGCTTAATCAGATTTGTAGTTTCCGATCATGTATCGTGCTGTTGGCATCGAGCCTGGTGAAATGTAGCCACACTTTTGATCTTTTCCACTTCTTTTATGGGGGTTGGGACGCGTACACACTACAGCATCACGTGTGAGCCACGTCTCTGTGGGCAACCGCATAAACCAGTGTTTTTCCATGATCCCTCGCCACTCATTGGCTCACTAACATTGATGAGATTACCCCTTAGTCATCAAAATTTGGTACCAAACAACAAGACTTTTTTTTGATACTCTATGGTACTAAGGCAATTGGGTTGGTGTCTAAAAAGTTGTCCTACCGAGCATTTTCTGCTTTGCGGAAATCATAGGGCCCTACATTTTGATTAAAATTCTTTCCCTTAAAGTTGTTAAATTGTCATTGATTATTGGCATCAATGTTAGTGTTTGCAAAATGCCGATCTGTTGCTACGGCAATGACTATGTTAATCATCAGGGGTCCATGAGTGACTGAAATGTGGCTGAACACACAAACCACTGCAGTTTCACTCAGACACTCACCACGGAGGAAGTTCAGCGATGTTGTTGTGACTGATGTCTAGAACCTCCAGTTTCTTGCTGTCACTCAACCAATCGGGCAGAGACGTCATACAGTTCCTGTAAGACAGTGAACGCACACAGCTGATGACACATGAAAGGAAACTTCATGTCACTATGTGGGTTTGACCAGATAGTAACAAAGACACAAGGGAGAGAGATCAAACCCACCTGGAGATGTCCACGTACGTGAGGTTAGAGGCCACAGGACTCACGTCTAACTCTTGCAGCTCTGTGGAACAGATGTCGTATGGCATCAAGCGAACGAATGGATGTTGTGTGTTAAAGGGATGGTACACCCAAAAATTAAAATTAGCCCTTGATGTACTCACCCTCAAGTCATCATTGGTTTATATGACATTCTTCTTTCAGATGAATACAATCGGAGTAATATAAAAATGCTTTATAATGGCAGTAAATTGCTGTTTCTGTTTTGAAGTCCATAAAAGTGCATCTATCCACAATAAAAGTGCATCTATCCATCATAAAAGTGCATCTCTCCATGATAAAAGTGCATCTATCCATCATAAAAGTTAATCTACTCATGATAAAAGTGCATCTATCCATCATAAAAGTTAATCTACTCATGATAAAAGTGCATCTATCCATGATAAAAGTGCAGCTCTCTATGATAAAAGTGCATCTCTCCATGATAAAAGTCCATCTATCCATCATAAAAGTTAATCTACTCATGATAAAAGTGCATCTATCCATGATAAAAGTCCAGCTCTCTATGATAAAAGTGCATCTCTCCATGATAAAAGTGCATCTATCCATCATAAAAGTTAATCTACTCATGATAAAAGTGCATCTATCCATCATAAAAGTTAATCTACTCATGATAAAAGTGCATCTATCCATGATAAAAGTGCAGCTCTCTATGATAAAAGTGCATCTCTCCATGATAAAAGTCCATCTATCCATCATAAAAGTTAATCTACTCATGATAAAAGTGCATCTATCCATCATAAAAGTTAATCTACTCATGATAAAAGTGCATCTATCCATCATAAAAGTGCAGCTCTCTATGATAAAAGTGCATCTCTCCATGATAAAAGTGCATCTATCCATCATAAAAGTTAATCTACTCATGATAAAAGTGCATCTATCCATCATAAAAGTTAATCTACTCATGATAAAAGTGCATCTATCCATGATAAAAGTGCATCTATCCATCATAAAAGTTAATCTACTCATGATAAAAGTGCATCTATCCATCATAAAAGTTAATCTACTCATGATAAAAGTGCATCTATCCATGATAAAAGTCCAGCTCTCTATGATAAAAGTGCATCTCTCCATGATAAAAGTGCATCTATCCATCATAAAAGTTAATCTACTCATGATAAAAGTGCATCTATCCATCATAAAAGTTAATCTACTCATGATAAAAGTGCATCTCTCCATGATAAAAGTGCATCTATCCATCATAAAAGTTAATCTACTCATGATAAAAGTGCATCTATCCATCATAAAAGTTAATCTACTCATGATAAAAGTGCATCTATCCATGATAAAAGTGCATCTATCCATGATAAAAGTGCAGCTCTCTATGATAAAAGTGCATCTATCCATGATAAAAGTCCAGCTCTCTATGATAAAAGTGCATCTCTCCATGATAAAAGTGCATCTCTCCATGATAAAAGTTAATCTACTCATGATAAAAGTGCATCTATCCATCATAAAAGTTAATCTACTCATGATAAAAGTGCATCTCTCCATGATAAAAGTCCATCTATCCATCATAAAAGTTAATCTACTCATGATAAAAGTGCATCTATCCATCATAAAAGTTAATCTACTCATGATAAAAGTGCATCTATCCATCATAAAAGTGCAGCTCTCTATGATAAAAGTGCATCTCTCCATGATAAAAGTGCATCTATCCATCATAAAAGTTAATCTACTCATGATAAAAGTGCATCTATCCATCATAAAAGTTAATCTACTCATGATAAAAGTGCATCTATCCATGATAAAAGTGCATCTATCCATCATAAAAGTTAATCTACTCATGATAAAAGTGCATCTATCCATCATAAAAGTTAATCTACTCATGATAAAAGTGCATCTATCCATGATAAAAGTCCAGCTCTCTATGATAAAAGTGCATCTCTCCATGATAAAAGTGCATCTATCCATCATAAAAGTTAATCTACTCATGATAAAAGTGCATCTATCCATCATAAAAGTTAATCTACTCATGATAAAAGTGCATCTATCCATGATAAAAGTGCAGCTCTCTATGATAAAAGTGCATCTCTCCATGATAAAAGTCCATCTATCCATCATAAAAGTTAATCTACTCATGATAAAAGTGCATCTATCCATCATAAAAGTTAATCTACTCATGATAAAAGTGCATCTATCCATCATAAAAGTGCAGCTCTCTATAATAAAAGTGCATCTCTCCATGATAAAAGTGCATCTATCCATCATAAAAGTTAATCTACTCATGATAAAAGTGCATCTATCCATGATAAAAGTGCAGCTCTCTATGATAAAAGTGCATCTCTCCATGATAAAAGTCCATCTATCCATCATAAAAGTTAATCTACTCATGATAAAAGTGCATCTATCCATCATAAAAGTTAATCTACTCATGATAAAAGTGCATCTATCCATCATAAAAGTGCAGCTCTCTATGATAAAAGTGCATCTCTCCATGATAAAAGTGCATCTATCCATCATAAAAGTTAATCTACTCATGATAAAAGTGCATCTATCCATCATAAAAGTTAATCTACTCATGATAAAAGTGCATCTATCCATGATAAAAGTGCATCTATCCATGATAAAAGTTAATCTACTCATGATAAAAGTGCATCTATCCATGATAAAAGTTAATCTACTCATGATAAAAGTGCATCTATCCATGATAAAAGTCCAGCTCTCTATGATAAAAGTGCATCTCTCCATGATAAAAGTGCATCTATCCATCATAAAAGTTAATCTACTCATGATAAAAGTGCATCTATCCATCATAAAAGTTAATCTACTCATGATAAAAGTGCATCTATCCATGATAAAAGTGCAGCTCTCTATGATAAAAGTGCATCTCTCCATGATAAAAGTCCATCTATCCATCATAAAAGTTAATCTACTCATGATAAAAGTGCATCTATCCATCATAAAAGTTAATCTACTCATGATAAAAGTGCATCTATCCATCATAAAAGTGCAGCTCTCTATAATAAAAGTGCATCTCTCCATGATAAAAGTGCATCTATCCATCATAAAAGTTAATCTACTCATGATAAAAGTGCATCTATCCATGATAAAAGTGCATCTATCCATCATAAAAGTTAATCTACTCATGATAAAAGTGCATCTATCCATGATAAAAGTTAATCTACTCATGATAAAAGTGCATCTATCCATGATAAAAGTCCAGCTCTCTATGATAAAAGTGCATCTCTCCATGATAAAAGTGCATCTATCCATCATAAAAGTTAATCTACTCATGATAAAAGTGCATCTATCCATCATAAAAGTTAATCTACTCATGATAAAAGTGCATCTATCCATGATAAAAGTGCAGCTCTCTATGATAAAAGTGCATCTCTCCATGATAAAAGTCCATCTATCCATCATAAAAGTTAATCTACTCATGATAAAAGTGCATCTATCCATCATAAAAGTTAATCTACTCATGATAAAAGTGCATCTATCCATCATAAAAGTGCAGCTCTCTATAATAAAAGTGCATCTCTCCATGATAAAAGTGCATCTATCCATCATAAAAGTTAATCTACTCATGATAAAAGTGCATCTATCCATGATAAAAGTGCATCTATCCATCATAAAAGTTAATCTACTCATGATAAAAGTGCATCTATCCATCATAAAAGTTAATCTACTCATGATAAAAGTGCATCTATCCATGATAAAAGTGCAGCTCTCTATGATAAAAGTGCATCTCTCCATGATAAAAGTCCATCTATCCATCATAAAAGTTAATCTACTCATGATAAAAGTGCATCTATCCATCATAAAAGTTAATCTACTCATGATAAAAGTGCATCTATCCATCATAAAAGTTAATCTACTCATGATAAAAGTGCATCTCTCCATGATAAAAGTGCATCTATCCATCATAAAAGTGCAGCTCTCTATGATAAAAGTGCATCTATCCATCATAAAAGTTAATCTACTCATGATAAAAGTGCATCTATCCATCATAAAAGTGCATCTATCAATGATAAAATTTTAAAATGCATCCATCCATCATAAAAGTGCATCAAAAGGCCTTTATTAAGTTCCTTATAGAGTTTGTTTATGATGGACGGATGCACTTTTATGGACTTCAAAAACGGAACCAGCAATTCACTGCCATTCTCAAGCTTGGAAGAGCCAGGACATTTATTAATACAACTCTGATTGTATTCATCATAAACACCAGAAGAATGTCATAAACACCTAGGATGACTTGAGGATGAGTAAATCATGGGCTAATTGTCATTTTGGGTGAACTATCCCTTTAATGTGATGTAGAAAGGTGTGTGCGCTACCGTTGTTGGAGGCGTAGACAGCCTTGAGAGTGCAGCCACGCAGACGCAGACGAGCAAGACGGTTCCTCTGACAGTGCAGGACTTCCAGCCGCGGGAACACGGACACGTCCAGCTCAGACAGACGGTTATCGCGAACATCCAGCTGCGTCACGTGGCGCAGAAACTCCGGCTCATCCGGCACGACGCTGGAGATCTGGTTCAGACTGAGGAGACGGAGAAATTCACCAAAGCTATTGTAAATACATTACCGACACTAAAAATGTGCAAAAGTTGGCTGAAATATCTGTAGTACACAATCTACTACATGATTTCTCTCCTCTGATTGATAGTTGCTACTGTTTTAGCAAGTAAAAGGCATTTCAGAATAATTGTAAAATTGTCCACTTTTAGCTTGTGGTTCACGTGTCTTTTTGCTGTAAAACCTTAAGAACTTTTATATTGTTAGTAATATTTTAAGATTATTACTGACTGGACTGAAACAACTTAGCTTTACTTGATTATCTGTACATTATCTTTCAAACAAATCATGTTAAAATGTGAGTTCAAATATGTTCCATCAGCCTTCTGAGAAAGGGTTATTTGTTCATCTCTCATTCATCATTGTATTGCATTATACGTTTTAAAACTACAGAGCTTTGATCATCAAACCAAGTATTAAATATCATCTTATTAAGACATATTATTGACAGATATAGAGTGAAGACTGCTGTCTGATGTGTAGGGTTGGGTATCGAGAATCGAGTACCGATTGGAACTTTTCGTTTTTCCCAGAATCGTTCAAAAGTGAAAATTTCGATTCATAGTTTCGATATTCACAGTCCGCCGAGCGGAAGAAGAAACCGCTGAACACCAACGAAGAAGCGTCTACCGGAAGTGTTGGCATAACCACGCGAGTCGAACATGAGTACATTACATCGGTGATCCAAAGTGTGGTTTCACTTTTCTAAAAATAACGAAATCTCGGCAAAATGCAAAATTTGCGACAAAAGGAGAATTTTTACAGAAGGAGTATTTCCTTGAGAAAGGCTGTTGGTTAGCAAGGTTAGCTAAACTTTTTTGACCCTGCCTCTTAAAAGAATCGGAATCGAGAATCGTTAGGAACCGGAATTGAAAGAAGGAATCGGAAAATCGAGAATCGTTAGGAACCGGAATCGAAACAAGGAATCGGAATCGAGAATCGTTAGGAACCGGAATCGAAACAAGGAATCGGAATCGTTCAAATTCAAACGATACCCAACCCTACTGATGTGTTGATTCACTCGTTCAAATAGCATATTTTTGCTCTAAACATAATTTATTTATGTTTTTTTCTCCTATAATATGAGCTCCATATTCTCACTATATCATACTATTTGAGCCATAAGAGCCTGGCGTAGCAAACATTATCCACAACAAAAGCTCCTATCCAAACCTTTTTGTTTCCTATTTTATATTTTTTCTAAAGGTTCATTGAACTGTTACTTTAAAAACTAGATTTTTCTGACTTCATATTTCAGGCTTTATGTGGTTAACATTAGATAATCCATTAGCTAACATGAAGTAAAAATGAGCAATGATTTTCAGCATTTAATGATTTTTGCTAATGCAGGTAAATTTACAAATGGGCATCACACACTGTCAAAACAAGCTCACGCAGAAAAACGGGCCTTGTTGCCAGGAGACCAATGAAAAATGAAAACAACGTGTTCTGAAATGGGCTCAAAATATCAAACATGTTTGATTTCATCCGATTGAATGGAATCTCAGTCTGAACCTAATAATAGAGTCTCTGTGCTCATCACACACTACGGGGTTTTCTGTAAAATCTGTCAACACTGACTGCCAAATATAAGCAGACTGATTCTGACTAGCACTGATTCGTCCAAACTGCATATCAGGGCAACAAATCTGGGTAAAAGTGCTGTAGTGTATTCAAGCTTGTGATTACAATACAGCCCATTGTTTATTTCATGTTAATTCGAAGAGCATTAAAGGGATAATTCACCCAAAAAATAAAATGTTCTCTCCTTCAAGTTGTTCCAAACCTGTATGGTGTTTCTCTAGCCTGGGAAAACCCAGACAACTTCCGGCAAATTTAGATTTGCTCAGAGAAGCCCATTTCCAATCCGTCGAAATCGTGGCACCAATCAGCTTTACACGATGACGACAGCGCTGGGATTTTGAAGCAGATTTTGTAGCCTACATTACAAAGATGGACGCCGCCGTCGAACATCACTCGTTCGAATCAGCTATCGCGTCTGTTTTAAGCGATTTGAACGTTTCCCTTGTTGTTAAAAATCGAGCAAAGAACTACACTAGTTTCTCCGCTCCGCTCTGCATACGTCATCTCCTTCATCGCTCTGATTGGTTTTAGGTCTACCCGCAACGTCCGTTGGTGACGCCCCTCTGGAAATGATTTGTCTATGACGCTTTGCCAGACCAACTCAGTTACAACTAAGAATGGTCTGGTTTTAACCAGGCTAGAGTTTCTCTGTTCTCTTGAACACAAAAGAAGATGTTTGGAAGACAGTTGGCGGCACCCATTAACTTCCATAGTATGGGGGAAAAAAATGGCTACCATCAACTGTCATCTTAAAATATCATCTTTTGTGTTCAACAGAACATCATACAGGTTTGGAACAACTTGGGACAACATTTTCATTTCTGAGGTGAACTCTCACTCTAACTAATATTTTTAGTAGCCTAAACATTGAAATTAACAAAATAATAATATTATTGTTCATTATTAGATAATGTTCACAAATTACAGTTGTGTTATCAATATACTGTATCTCTGATGCATTAAAGTTGGAAAAGTAACAGTGATTTCAATTCACCGTAGATTTCACAGCCAAAAAAACGAACTCCAAACCTTGCAGGAACATTTGAACTATTACACATTAAATTCAACTCATACATTTAATAATTGAACACACTTGAGGTGGTGATGTTCCCCTGGTTCAGTGTGAAGTGTAGACTACTAATGCTCTGCTGTCACAGCTAGTGTGTGTGTGCTCACCGGAGGTCGACGTGTTTGAGCGTCAGCAGACGGAAGGCCTGTAGCGTCAGCACCGGCACTTTATTTCCAGCCATGCAGAGTCTCTCGACGGCGGGCAGCCGCTCCAGCACCGACGGCACCTGTGTGAACTCATTGAAGGACAGGCCCAGGTAGGCCAGCCTCTGCAGAGAGCCCAGCTCCAAGGGGAGAGCACACAGCAGGTTCCCGTCCAGAACAAACGTCTGCAGACTGACACAGACACGGACATGAGCAACGTCCACCACACAGGAATACGTTTTGAAGAACGTTTTGCCAAAAGTGTTTTGTTTTCTTGGTTACATGAATGATAAGGTTTTCATTTTGCATACATTATGAGATTTGAATGTTTTCTGAACCTTCTGAATCAAGTAGTGACATTTGAAAAAAATATTAGATGAACATCCAACTAAAGCGCTTCAGGATAAAACGATGCATACGTTTTTAGAGCTCACATTTTGAGAGCATTATTAATAACCAGATAACCTTGAACGGACATTCTATTAATGTTACTGGAAGAGCGAACGTATCCTGTTAGCTGGGTGTTACTGTGCAAAGCAAGGAGGTTAGCACAGTAAAACTCTGGAAACTTGGCACTGGATGAGCACGAGTGTGTCCAGCAGGGGGCAGCAGTGCAACGAGTGTCACATGACTGCCTGACTCCACATATCTACGGTAAGTTTGGCTTCTTTTCGATATACACACACAAACTTTCCCTCGGGGGAATCCGTGCTGTTTAACTTCGTGAAGGAGGAGGGAAGCTTATTTGGACAGACCATCGATCCGTCGATTTTGGCCGAGGGAATGAGTCTACTCAACATGTACACTTCAGGCAGATCCATAGACCACAGTGACGTCACAGCATGCCAACTTAATTTAGCCCCACCCTACACAACTTGAGTTATTTTGACATTTAATCACGTTTAATACTTATGAGCTGACTGTATTGTAATATAATTTTAGTTTTTTAATATTTTATATAAATAAATGAATATATTCATAATTAATATTCGTTTATATTTAATATTTTAACATCCCAAGCATACATTCTGGCCTACATAATGGTGCATAAAGCAAATTCATAAGGAAAAAAAAACTATAAATATTAAATCGGCTCCATTGCGGATTCTAAGTGATCAAGTAGTGATCACTCGTGCAAAGTAAGCAATGACGTAAATCCGAGACTTATATTTATAAGTTTGAGTAGTTTGTAAAAACTTTGTAAAACTGACATTAGAATTAATTTAGAAGGAATATCTAAAAGTAGAAACTCGAACGCAATTTGAAGAAAAAACAAACTATTTAAGATGTACAATGTTTTGTGATTTTTTCTTCTTTCTATATACACCTGACATAGTTCGCAATATATACTCTTGTTTGTACAATATGATTTGTTTTCATTAAAAAAATCTCAATAAAATAATAATAAAAAATGAATAAAATAAAAATGATTGTGACATTTTTCCTTGGTAAGCAAAACAGTCCACGTAAAATAACATTGTTCATAACATTGGACATTTTAAAATATGTAACATTTGACATTTTGCTTAGACTAAACTGCACTGATGAAACATCATGTGTTACATGGGGGGGAAATAGGTTACAGAAGTGCAAGCCAAAATTTAGACCGTGAGAGAATAATAGGTCAAGAATATGTCAAAGCGAACAGGGTGTCGCGATGCTACGTGCTACGATGGACGCTTCAAAACCATACAGCGTCATCATCCACCCATTCAAATGGGTGAGTTTCTATGATGCTTGCGTTTGCTCTAGACAGAGTGTTAGTCTACTCGATTGCTTACTCGAGACTCACAGCAACACAGCTAAACGTATATGTTGGACCTTTTGGTGAAGGTTGCAAGGTCGTTTGAAAATGTGCTTTATTTTTGTAATTCCTCAGAAACGACACGCACATCTGTGGCGGACACACTCACTTGGTCATTTTGCCCACGTCAGGATGGATGGAGGTCAGGTGGTTGCAGCTGAGGTTGACCTCCGTCAGCGTGCTAATGGAGCAGATGTGCAGCGGGAAGCTTCTCAGCTGGTTATTAGAGAGATTGAGACTCCGCAAACGGGAAAATCTGCAGGAGAAGAGAGGACATTTAGAGATATTAAAGGGATACTTCACCTCCGGAAAGAAGAAAGTGTATTTAAAATGGATCATTTATGTATTTATGTGAGGAAATGTGAAATTATTTTTTGAATTTAAAGCTTTCTAGACTGAGAAAAGCCAGAAAATATATTTTGGGCTTATGTGGATGAAAGACAACAACTCCCAGAATGCACTTGCTTCGCTGCACTAAGAGGCCACGCCTACCGGTGACAGAGCTCAGTAGTTAAACAACAAGTCTAGGCTACAAGTGAGTCTCCATGATGAGTCTGCCCGAATATGTGTTTCGAGATCACCCAAAATGTCCGGGATTCGGCTTTTGCGTTCTACAGTCGTCATTCATTATGTTTACTGTGACGAGCATGACGAGTGAGGGCTGCGGGAGAATGGCGCGAGGCTGTTGGCGTGATTACCGATGAGCGACACAGTAACACTTTATAATAACTGCACGCAATAATCATTAGTTAAGCATGAGTAAACAGTTAATACATCATTTATAAAACATTAATAGACATTAATATGCAGTAGGCTTGCCGCGATAGACGGTGTTGACGGTGTTACCGGTTTTAAGCCCCATCACCGGTGACATCACTTTCCCACCGTGACACCGCGATGTCTTGACTTTTTTTTTTTAAAGTATTCGTTTTTGCTAAAATATTTATTTGAATTAATTAAAAATAATCATTTTCAATTATTTAGTTCTGAAGAGAGCATTATAATTAAAAATGAACTGCGCAACGCGTGCCGTCACGTCACAGATCAGCAAGCATCAGGATTCCATTTAGCGCGTGTGGAGACGAGAACGAGTCAAATTACAGAAAAGTAAGATAATGGCGGAAGATTTGGTGTCAAAACGCAATGCAAAAGCGCCTGTTTGGCAATATTTTGGCCAATATATATTAATGTTAATAAATGCCAATTTATAGTGTTTTACTTTTTTTTAGAGTGCTGTCATTTATGTAGCCTGGCTAAGGTCCTTTTTAAAGTTTTTATTTTATATTCGTCTCTTTTTATTTGGTTTTATCTTATTTAAACTTTGTTGAATTTATTTAGGCCTATTTTGTTTTCTTATTCGTTAATAAACGTTTTATTTGTTTGGGCCCACAGTTTGCCGATTTTCACTTTTTTCAGCCTATGCATGGGGTTATTTTTATTCGTTCGTTATGCTAATAAAAGTTCTGTCTATATTTTATTCGTTTATTATTCTAATAAAAGTGCTGTCTAAATAAAAGTTTATTGTCAGCGAGTTTTTTTTTTTTTTTTTGTCCATTCCAGCAATTGACGCTGAATTGCAATTGGCGCTTATTTCGAAAGTGAAAGTATGTCATTTATGTAGGCTAAGGTCCGTTTTGAAGTTTTTATTTTATATTCGTCTCTTTTTAATTGGTTTTATCTCATTTAAACTTTGTGTAATTTATTTAGGCCTATTTTATTTTCTTATTCGTTAATAAACGTTTTATGGTTCATATTTGTTTGGGCCCACAGTTTGCCGATTTTCACTTTTTTCAGCCTATGCATGGGGTTATTTTTATTCGTTTGTTATGCTAATAAAAGTTCTGTCTATAAATAAAAGTTTTATTATCAGCGAGTTGTTGTTTTTTGTCCATTCAAGCAATTGACGCTTATTTCGAAAGTGAAAGTATAACGCGCACGCATTTAAAAGCTATTTAACCCCCCCGCCCTGCCCTCCACGGTGACACCGGGATTACCGGTGTTGTCGCACGTCGATTAACCGGTGGGAAATTTTCCTCACCGCGGCAACCCTAATATGCAGTTTATAAAAATAGCTATACATGCTTTTTTCTTGATTTATAAGCATATCTATAATGCGTTTAATGATTGTATTTTCATACTTTGTTAATGATCAATTAATAATTTCTAAATGAAGTATAACATTATTTGCAAACCAGTTGTTTAAGAGTTGTCAGTCATTTATAAGACCACTTGGAAAGTCTAAGTAAATGTAGTAAATACAGGTAGTTATAAAGCATTTATTAGTGGTCAGTTAACTATTTTTGTGAGCTAATCTAAAGTGAGGACTATTCATGCTTTGTAAAGCATTTATAAAGGCGATTTAAAGACTCGTCAATCTTCTAAACAGTAAAATGTAACAAACACAACGCAGTGATACAGAAGATAGAAATATTTAACAGCCTTTAAAAATGCTTTACAAGGCATGACTAGTCCTCACTTTAGATTAGGTCACAAAAATAGTCAACTGACCACTACTAAATGCTTTATAACTACCCAAATTAATCCTTAATTAAAGCATTAATACATGTTAATAAAGCATTTATTAACACATTAAGTAACCATCACTATGTCTGAATAATAAGATGTATGAATGTACATTTAAATAGTTTATTAATCATTTACTTACTCGCTCTAAGTAATCGTATGAACCACTGAAAACTCTTAAATAACTGGTTTATAAAAAATGCAATTCTTCATTTAGAAATGATAAATTGATCATTAATAAAGGATGAAAATACAATTATTAAACAAATTATAGATATGCTTTTAAATCAAAAAGAAAGCATTTGTAGCTGTATTTATGAACTGCTTATTAATGTCTATTAATGCTTTATGAATAATGAATTAATGGTTTACTCATGCTTAACTAATGATTATTAGCGTGTAGTTATTATAAAGTGTTACCAGCGACACCTGTGAGACGCACCAGTCTCGTATCTCTCAATGAGGAGCGGGAATTTTCTTAGCAATGTTAAAACGCACATCAACCGATCACTTGTTTAGCGTTCATGTAAACATATACAGATTCGGAATGAATTCAGTTAGATTGAAACAAAAGCTGTACATGTAAACAATGAATGACGACTGCAGAAAGCAAAAGCTGAATCCCGGACATCGACGGCCAGACATGTCTGGAAAAAGAGGATGGTAACCCCTATTACTTAGCTTTCTCCACAGAACAAGAGCCTGCTAGCTTAGCTTCCAAAAAAGATGTCTGACACTATTGTGTCCATTCTGTGAGCGAGATCCGTCTATGGGCGGGTTGAAAACATGCGGGACAGACCCTACTACTTACTGTAGTCTTTCGACAAAAAAATCCTCTGATGACAAAAAATGCCAATTTTTGGTCGTCATTTTGCATCAATGGTTTAACTTAATTTTAATAATTCCAAAAATTTCCAATCGATTGAATTAACAAAAAAAAAATTCCCAATTGATTGAATTTATAAAAATGTAACAATTTATTCAAATTGTAAAAATAATAATGGCCTATGAAATGGTTTTTAGGAATGTTCTATTTTCTGATTTAATACAAATGTATGTATGTATTACCAAAAAAGCTGGAATTCACCAAACTTCAGATGAATTCATCTTTAAAAATGTAATGAAATTAAAATGTGAAGAGTTTGAAGTGGGGGAAAGCTGATGTGTGAAACACACACTGACCTCTGGAGCTGCAGCAGCGTCTGGTCCGCAGGCAGAAAGTTGTGTTTGAGGTTGAGATGCGTCAGGTCTTGACTGTACAGCAGGTTGGGCGGCAGTTTCTCTAGACTACAGCAGGACAGATCCACCGAACTGATCCTCTGAGACACCATCTGACAGACAGACAGGCAGACACACACACACACAAGTCATTTATCAAGGTATCATCACAGCAAGATCAACAAGGAATTGTGCATCTATGGGTTTTTTCTTTCCCAGTTGTTTTCTGCAGGGTTATTACAGTTAACCGAAACTAGTCAATACAAACATGTTTTGTTGCTTGAAATAAAATAAAAAATTATTTAATTAATTAATCAAATTATTTCTGTTAGTTGCCAATACAGCATTTCCATCTGGACCAAATATTGATGCACCTCTTGATGGAAATAACACCAAAACACTTATTTACATCAAGAGGTGCATCAATATTTGGTCACAGAACGAGGAGGGAGCAGCAAGACGATGATGATGTACATGCGACACACCGAAGCAGTTACTTGGTTTATATTTATGGATCCATCTTGGCAGCAGACGCAAAGTTACCTTTTGATACAGCCTTTGTGTATACATAAATATCCTGAATCTCTGACCCATCGTCTTCTTCCTGGTCTAATTTTCTGTCGCTCTACATACGTCATCTGGTATCATTGAACCGATTGGCTGTGGGCTACATAGAGGCGCATTTGACAAACATTTGTAACACCCAATAATATGGCTCTGGGCATTCGTAAACCACGCCTCAAATACGAGAAAATGGACCACGTCACATTGTTAATGATAATTATGTTGTCGATGCAAGAGTCCAGCACTCTGTAGAGTCTCTCTCCTCCAGCGCGTCCCAAAGACTTTCAGTGAGTTTAAGATCTGGACTCAGAGGAGCAGATTCATGTGTGAAAATGATTCTTCATGCTCCTCTCAACCATTCTTTCACATTTTGAGCCTGACGAATCAGGACATAGACATCCTGGAATATGGGTTAGAATTATAGGGTTAGAAGAGCTGTTTCCAAACATATAACATGCTAAAAACACAATAATCACTGAAGTAATGATCCAGTCAATCATAGACTCTTAAGCATTTGCATATTTAAATCCCAACAGCGACTTTTTTTAGGCCTGGCAATGTATAACATCTCAATGATACTAAAATAACACTGTCTTCTGGTCCAGCAGGTGAACATGCTCACTTAGCAAAATAGCAGCACACTCTCCTCCACAACAAACTATCATGACTTCATAACCAGTATTCATTAATAACACAGCACACGCCGCTCATAACATGACAGGTTCACATTAACACAGCAGCCTGAAACCTCTTGTGAGGTTTTTCTAATCTGAGGGTCCCGGTGGGCAGGACGGATCTCACGGCACAAGGTTGTCTCTGGGAACGGCACAGTAAAATAGGCTGGCCAGGCTTGCCCTACTTGCGTTTGTTTAGGATGGTTTGTTCATAGTAAAGTATGCTAAAGTAGGACTCCCAACTAGGGCTGTTCACACTCTTTCTGTGATGGAGTGATGAGGTGTCATTTCCAGGGCAAATTTAGCTTAGATCAGAACAATGAGGAGCTCCAGAGTATCTGAACAGCTGTGTGAAGAGGTGAGAAGGTGTGTGTAAACGTGCTACAGAAGCACAGAGGTCTGAAGTCCACGAGCAGAAAACACACGCTGATTTACAGCAGGGGAACGAGTGCACTTCTGCCAGATCCAACCAGTTTATTTCTCATGCTTTACAGTGTGTTCAGGGCTGAAACCAACGCACATCAGTAGATAAATGTTAACGGCAACACAAAATGAGACTGGGCAAAGCTCACCGTACTGTGAGAACCGGGTCACATGGGTCACAACATAAATGTTTAACAAACATCCCGAGTCCAGGTGTGATTCAGACATACGTCAAGGGATAACGCTTGAAAGCTTAAAAAGAGGGTTGTGTTGCCAAACTTAATGTAATCTATGTGCGTAAATGAGCCCTGATATTTCAATCGTTCAGTCTTCAAGTACACATCATACGATTTTGTGCTTTGCTTCTGTTGTGTTCGGGACTACATTCCCCGTTCACACTGTTAACTGAATGCAGTTAATGCATTATTGCGCAGTCCCTCAGGATTTTTAACAGAAGCACCAAATATAAATCCTCTTATGTACATTATGCTTTATAACAAATGTCTGCAGAAGGTGTCAACATTTTAAATCTTTAAAACTTGGCCATTTGTTTACGAAAGAAATGCTACAACCACTGTCATTTCTTGAACAGGAATGTAAAAAGTTTAAACTTCTATTTTGAAATGTTTTACGTTACAAATCTGATGAAATGGTGTACATTGCGTTCCCAGATGACCGTTATAAGCAACCCAAACTCACAGCATATGCAGAGATGGAGCCAGAGACGCTCCACACATGTAAATAATAAAAAGCTCATGTTCATGTGAAGCAGCATTTACTGTGAACAGAGCCACTCTGAAACACATAACCTATATATATATATATATACACCTACATAACACACATTTATATATATATATACCTACATAAACTATATATATATATATATATATATATTAGGGCTGGGCAAAAATTAATTGCGATTAATCGCGTCCAAAATAAAAGTCTGTGTTTATATAATATATTTGTGTGTGCTGTATATAATTATTTTGTATATATAAATACACACACATGCATGTATATATTTAAGAAAATGTGTTATTCATATATAAAATATTTATATTTATATAATATAGATTATGTATTTATATATATATATATATAGAATTTAAGCACAAATAATTCTTAAATATATACATGCATGCATAGGTATTTATATATACAAAATAATTATATAGAGCACACACAAATATATTATGTAAACACAGACTTTTATTTTGTATGCGATTAATCGCAATTAATTTTTGCACAGCCCTAATATATATATTCAACCCCTATCGCAAAACAGATTTATTGGCGAAATTTTCAGGCTTTCAGCCGTTTGCAATGAACAAATCAAACAAAAGTAAATGAAATAGCTCAACACAACAAATGTTTCAAGTGGTTTCCCCAAATTCAACTGAAAATGCAACTTTTAATGACTTAAAATAATTCAACCCCTTCATGGCAAGCATTTTTAGTTCAAAGTAGAACACACTTTTGCTGTCACGACCTTCTGCAAACAAGATAACCAGACACCAGCTTCTAAAGGAATCTGCGCCCGTTCCTCTCAAGCAATGGCCTCCACTTCAGTAATATTCCTGGGATTGCGTGCTGCAACCGCCTTCTTCAAATCCCACCGGAGATTTTCTGTGGGGTTCGAGTCAGGCGACTGACGGCCACTGTAGAATCTTCCAGGACTTCTTCTGCAACTGAGCCTTGGTGCAATTTGAGGTATGCTGGGGATCAATGTCCTAATGGAAGGTTCACTGACGTCCAAGCTTCAGCTTCCTCACTGACGGCATGATGTTTTCTCCTAGGCTTTCCTGATACTTTAATGAATCATGCCTTCCACACACTGCAGTTTACCAGTGCCAAAGTGTTTAAAGCAGCCGCAGAGCACCACAGATCCACCACCATGCTTAACTGTAGACAGAGTGCTCATTTCATCGCTCCACAGGACAGAATCCCAAAACTTCTGTGGCTTATTCATATGATTTTGAGCAAATTGGAGCGGACTTTTCTTGTGCTTCTGGGTCAGTCGTGGTGTACGTCTTGGAGTTCTGGCATGGAAACCGCATGCATTTAGTAAGTGCCTTACTGTGCCAGCTGAAACCACAGTGCCTGGTGCCAGTAGAGCCCCTTTCACACAGCCTGTTGATCCCGGGAAATTGCCAGAGCGCTTTCTGTGTGAACGCAAACACGACCCGGGATTGATCATCGATGCCGGGTTGGGGACCTAGTAACATTGCCGGAATCAGTCCCAGAACGTGCGCTGTGTGAACAAAAGCCAGGACCAATGCCGTAAGGGGTGTGTCATAGTGATGACGCTCGTGTCATCGCGCGACTCTGTTGCTTTTAGAAGAAAGTTTGTGTTCGTCATCAACAAAGAAAGGACCAACAAATGTCTGCAAACTGGGAAGAAGCAGAGACCAGGAGCTCCTCACTATCCGCGCTGAAGCTGAGATCTTTCACCAGCTTTGTGGAACGTATGCGCGCGTACATGTTTTCGACGCGTCTCATCCTGTCGTCATGTGTCTTTACGGGATCTTTACGGGTTGTGTGTGAACGCACTCCCAGATCCCGGCAAATCACTGGCAGTGTGAATGAACCGAAATCAAACAATCCCGGGATAAATGCCGGGTCACATTATCCGTGTATTTTCCGGAATCTCTGTGTGAAAGGGGCTTAGGGGTGGGACAATATAACGATAGGGTGATGATATTACTCCATGCGATCCGAGAATCGATGCGCTGGCGCCAAATATCGATATTGTAATTAATAAAATAAGGCGCTCTAAATAGATTTCCCTGCTCCCAGTGTCGCTACTTTATGGCTACGTGAACATAAGTAGCCTAAGAAAAAGAGGTTTTTAAAGTGATGGCGGACAGCAGAGTGAGTAAAATAATAGATGCCCCAGCAGCCACGTTTAAGTAAAAAGTCTGGACGCACTCAACAAACATGTCTGTGATTGGTGATTGGATATATTAGGAATCCACTGATAGAAGCCTGCTTTCAAACAACCCGTGTGGATCTCGAGGAAGAGCGTTTTGGAAGTGCTGATCACTGTAAATAGAACTTCAAAAATATCTTGGAAAAAGGTTGAGAAATTGCACCATTGGATAATCAAACGTCACTGTTTTGTTTTTTTAGGTTTTTTTTTGGTCAAATATTTTAAATTTTTGAGAAAAGCTGCAGCAATTAGAAAAAAAGTCCCCAGTGAGACTGTCTGTCAACCTATAAATTAATATTATATTTCAACCTTTTTATACATTTTTTCACAGACCAAAAGCATTCAAACCCAAAGCCCTGAAGTCACTGATTTGGAAAAAAAGCAACGAAAGATACCACATTAAATCCATGATTCTTGGACATTTACCAATGATAGAAATATTCAGGACATGGTCTGGTCTGTATAAAAGTCTAATCATATGACTAAAGCGCAGTACTTACTTGCTTGAAAATACTGGCAAGTGAGGCAGCTCACAAGAGTTTGGATCAGCTATAGTGTGTCAGGTCTTATTATTTCTACAAGGTGGAAGGATAGAGGCGGTCACACACACCTTAGCAGCCTGTCGATGCCAGCGCAGGTGTTCAGTGAAGCTGTCGAAGCTGATATAGTAGGTCTGACTCTGAGGTCCCGCTGAGCTGAAGGCCAAACAGTGACTGTGTTTCTTCACCTCTTCCACCTGAACACAACACAAACACACAACTTACACATGAACGGGACACGTTCCCCATGCAGTGGGGTGAAAACACGTCATCTTCATCAGTGTCAGAGGTCTGTTTACATCAACAGCAGCAGTGATGCGTGACATGGCAGACAGCACTCTGTATTTAGTCTAGCGGTCTACAACATAAATGAACACTGACAGAGTACGAGGCTTTAAACGCATCTCTGTTTGTTTAGCACTTCATCAACTCTCAAAACCACCATAAAACTTTACAACTCACTAACCAATGTCCACTATGTCTGTCCTCTCTCTGAACTCTTGTTTTAAGTGTTGCTCGTCGTTGTTAAAGTAACCAGGAACTTGGGATAAATATAGCCTGGGGTTCAACACACACAGGCATTATAAAGTGTGAATGAACTCTGTGAAGTCACCTTAAACATCCCTTGCTTATTTTAATTAGATTTATACTGTACAAACTCCTAGATAAAACATTTAAATTGACTTACACCATGGTCTATGAGAACATTCATTTTAAGCCCTGCATACTGTCAAAATGCTGTAGAATATCAATCCTCTTTTTTTGACTACTCTTGTCCACTGCCCTTCAGGAGGCCAGACTGTAGGATCATTGGTTTGGGACTAGGGCTGCACGATTAATCGCAATGAATCCGCACGTGATTTGGTAAAGGCTGTGATTATTTTATGCACAGCTGATTGGTAGTCAACTCTGCTCCATCTGAACGCCAGAGGCCGACTCACACACACACACACGCCAAATATGCCCCTTCGGGAAAACACTATCGGCATCATCTCACAGAAAGAGCTCAACTGTGGTTATGAAGATCACATCCAAAATAAAAGTTTGTGTTTACATAATATATGTGGGTGTACTGTGTGTAATTATTTTGTGTGTGTGTATGTATGTATGTATATATATATATATATACAGACACATGCATGTATATTTAAGAAAAAAAATTATTTACATATAATATAAATTATATATAAATCTATATAAAGTATATACATGAAAATATTTCTTAAATATATACAAGCATGCGTGTGTATTTATATATATAAAATAATTATACACAGTGCACCCACATATATTATGTAAACACAAACTTTTATTTTGGATCCAATTAATCATTTGACAGCCCTACAGTTTATATAAAAACATGTTATTAAATGTTGGACAAGAGGTTCATAAATGCTTCTCATGTTCGGAAAGATGTTTGACGCGTGCAGCGAGGAGCAGCGCTTACAGAGCCGAACATCAATGACAAGCCGTGCATAATTTTTTTTTTTTTTTTTTTTTCAAAATCGTGATAAGCCAAATCGGTTTAAGTGCGATTACATGGAAATTGCAAGCAAGCCCTATTTGGGACAATCAGACTGGATTCAGTACCTTTCCTCCGATCAGTGGCAGGATGTGCATCTTGCCCGTATGGCTGGCCTTCACCGAGGAGACCATGAGACAGGTGCCACATAAAATCACCTGCCGTCGACTCCAGCGATTCACCGGAAGCTGCAGCTTTCCTTTCCGCACGTTATACGTCCCGGAGAGCTGGATGCGCTCGGAGCTCTCGATGCTGTGAGGTTTTCCTGCAAAACAGAGAAAGATGTGAGCCTGACTTCTCCACACAACATATCCAGTCCAGCTTCAGATGCACATTTCACACTGAAAGTCAGTTACTATCAGTGACAATTGCTAACAGTAATTTCTAGTAAAGGTCAGATTTAGGAAATATGGAGTGACGGTTAAGAGATGCTAGGTTAATACCTATATAAAGATGAAATACCACCATTTCAAAGTCCTTAAAAGAAAGACATGATTTTACTTTAGCTAGGACTCTGAGATGAAAAAAACTGGTTATGACTACCATACTAATCCGTTTCTCAATTTTAAGACCACTATCGGAAAACACACCAACATTCTTCACTAGTGGTTTCACACACAGGGAGCAAGCTTCTGAAGATTTAAACCTTCATTGAGGTGAAGAAGATTTAGGGACATCCATCCAAGCCTTTACATCCGCTAGACAAGCCAGCAGAGTATCAAAACCCATGCTATTTGATCCCAGAGGCAAATAGATTTGGGTATTGTCAGCGTAACAGTGAAATGAGACGCCACGTTTCTTAAAAATCGACTCCAGGGTAAGCATACGAGGAAAATAGAAACGGAGCAAGAAGCTTGAGGGACCCCACACATTAGGGAAGTAAATTCACCAATATTAACAGAGAACCTTCTACTATTGAAATAGGATTGAAACCATTTAGAAGCATTTCCCTGAACGCCCACCCAGTGCTCCACACGAGAGATGAGGGCAGAGTGGTCAATCGTATCAAAGCTTTTACCAGTGTTAAAGTGTTTGTGGAATGGGTTTTCCTAAAACCTGATTGGAACACTTCAAAAATCGTGCTTTTATTCAGAAATCTCAGTCGTTGGTAAAACACTATTCTCTCTAAAAATGTAAATATATAAAAGAAAGATTTGAGACTGGCCTAAATTTTGTCAGAACTGTCGGGTCTAAGTTTGGCTTTTTGAGAAGTGGATGGACATGGCATGCTTCACGTCGTAGCCGTTTCAAGGCAGCTGTTCATAAGCTTTTGAATGGTAGACCTCAAACATTTGTTTAAGAAACTGTGGGGGAAGAACGTCAGAAGGTTTGAGCTGGCCTACAATACCTTGTAAAGCAGGAAGAAAACTCAAGTACTCGGACGTGACTCATTAAAACGATGATCTGACTTTAAAATATATATTTTCTCATTGGTTATTGTGGCATTTTGCTTAGCTAGTCTGATTGGTTAGCATTAGTTTATTCACAGTTCAAATTCAATGCCTGATATTTTTGGCTGGGTTATTAGAGACGGTCAGATCATTGATGCATCATAATCTAGCAGTGTTATTTTTTTTTCTAGTCATATGTTCATGTTTTCATATCATATTTTTATTTTTCAACCTTACTTTCCATAACACCAGTCTTAAAATATTTTCATTATCTCCATGACAGAAACGGTCCATCCCAGAGTACTTGTTTTTTGAGACCCATCAATGCTCAAAATGAGAAATTAAGAGAAAGGGGGAAAAAAAGAGACCAAAATACCCATCCCTACAATTAAGCAGAAGCTAGAAGCTAGAACGAGCATAATCCAGCAGTCAGTACTACAGATACACAGTAAGTGTTGGAAAAGAGTATGAATAGAGTGGTTTAGACTGGGAACGACATTCACATGTGCAGATTCTTTAAATAATTCAGCAATGCTCCATATGGACTGAGTTTACATCCGCCGTAGAGATACAAATGTACAATATGTTATGCATGTTCTTGACTAACTCTTGCAACATCTCTGCTTTTGCCTCTGAGACAGAGCAAGCGAGATCTGACCCAAAAGCAGCAGTAGTACAGTATGTGGGTCAGGACCCCACGGTACTCCACATGGAGCGCTGAAGCCCACTTTACAGCACCACCACCATCAGCAAAGGTGTAACACCACATCCAGTCCCATCCACAGACAACAACACCTCAGATCTATAGAAGAACATCACACACTCACGTGTAGAATAGGGTAAGTGACAGTCTACAGGAATCAGCCTTATGTTGGTGAACACACAGTTACCACTGTATTCATGAAGGCTTCTATTGTTGTTGTTAAAAAATGAGCAGATACTTGATGATCAGATAATGATCTCACTCAAAAGCTTTATTTACATTTATCTCTAGTGACCAGAGAGACCTCACATGGATCTTAGGCATGATTTAGGTGTGTTGTGCTTCTTCCATGGGCAAGAGGAAACCACAGCCCTTCCTTCACGAGAGCTCATCTCTGACTGACATCCACCCTGAACTGAACTAGGGTTGTCACGCCACCAACATTTCAGCCGTCCGTCTCAATACTACTCAATTTTCAGTTCTCTGCAACAATTTTGGTACATAGCAAAAACGTATTATTTATCAAGCTTTAATATAACGACCAAATTTACTTTCTGGGCCGATAACATATAACATATCGGGCGATGCCGGTATATGGTTGCCGATAACCCATCCCTATTGTAAATAGAAAACCTTTGACGTGTTTGAAATTAGCGTCGATCAGCGCGTACCGGATTGACCCTTGGAGTCCCACAATTCATATTAATTTTCTGCATTTTTGACAGTGAATCATTCCATGCCACAGTAAACGGGACGTCCCACTAACTTGTCTCCCAGCCCTGTGGATAACTCCGAGAGTTTACACACCTCATCCTGTTTTGAGTGTGTGGGCAGATCCAGTGCTCTGGGTATCCGGCACAAAGCAGAAGAGGGTGTGTGTCCAGGCTATATTTGTCCACGTTCTGCTCCTGCACTCGAATGCACTGGGGGAACCGCCCATATGACATATCGGGACTAAAAACTCCTGAATAATTTCTTTCAGGAGTTTAAAAGGCTCGTGACCATGAGTAACACGTTCTGGAGAGCTTCAGCACACCATTACGCAACCTGACCGAAGCATCTTAGAGCCGATGCCTCCATACTGTTAGTCCTTTGGATGAGATTTTAGATATATCTGACTATGATTGCCAGAGGAAGTATTATTTAAACCAAACAGTATACAGCTTAAGTCATGAGATTCAGAATGCAAGTGAAACACAGTCAACAGTTTCACAGTTTGTCACTAAATGCGCAGAATAAAAAGACAAACACACGACTGAGCTCATACCAGTGGCATCAGATGAAAAGAGTTAACGTACAGCAAGTTCAAATTATGTCCTCCAATCTAACAATACCACCTGACAATATAAATTCAACTGATTCTCTTTTTAAAAGTGATCTAATATTTTCACTGAAAGATATTTATTTTTCTGACAGAAACTGTTGTTGAACTTTCTTCATTTTGCACTACAAATTTTTCAGTCTCAAGTACAACATTTCTCAACTTTACCTAAATTTGACATATTTCTTCCTGAATATTCCCAAACTGTAAAATGTCTTAAACTAATAAATAATAGAAATAACACATTCCTTAAGAACAGACTGATAATTCATTTGTACTTATGTGCATTGTATTTTAAAGGCAGTACTGTTTCTTCTTCACTGTAGACCTTTTACTAACTAGAAGCAACTGTGTTAGTTGTTTAGATAATGGTAAAAGTTAGTACAATCAGTTGATATGTAATTGCAAAGTTACTTAAAGTTAGTGGAATATCAAAAGAGGATTGTTCAAATAAAGTGAAACCAAAAATTAATATGAAAAAGAAATCTCTCGTACACTTGAACACAATTAAATTGATGTTGAAGGACAAACCTGCAGTTAAACATTAACCAACATTATGGAAATAACCTAGCAGACTAATATGCATACTGATAAACGAATGGACGAGATACATATAATGTAAAACTCAAAGCAACCTCTAAGCATTTGCTTCAAACCCATAAAAATTCATCAATACTCTTGTAAACCAGTCATACAGCAAAATTATTAGCTCATTTTTCTGACAGGATAGTCCACACCAAAATGAAAACCTTCAAAAACCTTCTTTTTTTTAAGAACAGAAAAGAAGAAATAAAAAATGTGCTGCTCACGCAGACAATGAATGGTGATCTTCTTCAAGGCAAACTTTAAAAAAGTATATAATATATAATATGCAACTCGTGTGTGTATTCCAAGTGTTCTGAAGGAATTTGGTGGATTGGGCGTTGTCATTCGTATGAGCGCACAGCCAGTTCACTGCGACCACAAGCACATCACTCAGAGAAATCAACACGAATATGATCATGACAGCAAACACGAGGCCTATAAAAGTCTATAAATATAGTAGTATAAATATCTAATAAATCTGTTCTCTGAAGTGAATGTCTGTTATGCAAGCAGAGTTATGTTATAAAGTTCAGTAATTCATCTTTAGAAAGTGACAGAATGACAGTTGAAATCTCGAACATCTTTGGTTTGCGCAACAAATCTCAAAGTGAATTCACATCCATTATAAATCATAAACATAAAAAAAATAATCTGATAAATGCTGTAACATCTAATAGGGAATGATATAGCCTACTGTAAATAAGCAAATAACTTTGTTCACTAATTAGGACTGGAACGATGCGTCAACCAAATCGATTACGTCGATCACGCACTGATTATGTTCATCACTAATCAAGTTTCACACGCATCAAAACTCTGGAGCAGATGCACTTAATACGGTTGCGTTCATAGTACAGTGTTTTATTTTTTACAAACGTGATCAGTATTCTATAACATTCAGTTCATTCTGGTTCTCGAATCCGATTGGCCGAGAGCCTTTTCCAGCTGTGCGATATTCCCCCAGGATCAGCACTGGAACCGCATGCCACATTTCTCACAGAGAACCACTGTAAACCACCATCATTTTACACATACTAGCCTACTGTCATTGTGACATGGAATGTAGAAGAGTCTCTTAGGCAAGAATGTAGTTTTAGACCTCAAATATGCGACTTATAGTGCATATTTGACCATTTGTTTTGACGTTTTCATAGATTGAGCTCCAGGCCGTCAGCAGCCGTTCACAATATCTATTGTTGTTTTTGTACAAGTGAAGAAATGATTGGCCAGCAGCACACCTTTTCCAAGACAAGTAAAAGCTTTAAAAAATATCACTGGGTATATTACTGGTGTGTTTTATATTGTACAATAAAATGTGAAAATATCTTGAGCTTGTGTTGTTCACCACAGACCTTATTTCAAGCATACAAAACCCATTTAAAAAGCCCATTGACTTCAGGTAGCGCTAAAATGCGTTTTGGCCTACAAAAACACATCATCCCTGGACCACTCCATTGAGCAAGCACTCAGTACTCAAACTGTATTTGTCCTATATATCATATTGGTTTTTTAGGGGTCCTGGAGTCCATGTGGCACTTTTGTGAGGTGATCCCTTAATAATAAAACATGAAACAAACGCTAATTTAAAGCAAGCATTGTCTGGTTTCAACTCATTCAAACTCAAGAGTCTAAGGACGTCCCGCCACCAGAGGACTAATGCACACTGATCCAGATGTTCAGAGCGACAGTGTCGTCTGTCCGAGGATTTACTGTCTAAGTAGAGTCAGATCTTCAGCAATAGGCTGCGACTTCAGTGCTTGCAACACGGATCCTAGTTTCATCAGCCACACTGCTGTAACTTTATATTATATGAAAAATATGAATTGCAATGTATTACTGAGAAATATGTGCAAAAAACGATTTATTATAAAACTATATCTAATATGTGATAATGATGTGTATTAGGTCCTATATGTTGTAACTCTCGGCCTGAACAGTGGCAGCAGAAATGAAAACACTAACACAGACCTACCACTGGATTGACAGGCTATTATTGAATGAAATTAGGAAATTTGTCATGGTTATGATGAAAGGTAGAGGATAAAGTTCAGTAATCTTAAGGAAGTGATTCTAAATGAAGTGCAGGCGTTCAATAAAATAACAAAGGATGCAGACAGAAATGTGCAAGACTGTGATCACTGCAACTCACATAACTCTCGAATTGAATGAACATTTAACCAGGTGAGCACTGTTTGGTTTTTGATTTGTTGTTTGATGGTGGCTAAATTGTTTCACACTGTGAAAATGATATAGGATGACGTGGAGAGTGCCGTATCGGTTAAAGGTCACATGACCGTTCCAGTAAATGCCGCTATATTCATATTACTGTGGCAAGATAAACAGGCTGTGTTCAGATAAGCAGCACTATCTTAAAAGGTGAATACACTTGACAAGTTATAACACGTTCTTGTTGTTCCTATAGTGTCAGCCCGGTGTCTGTTTTCCCGTATTTAGTAAAAGTCAACCAGTGTGTCTGATGTCTGAGAGAGCCACGTGATCTCATTAGTATTCTTGTGTATTTTTACGTAAAGTGTGGTTCTGCCACATGTACATACTTCCGTTTTTTATACACACTGAAACATACAATATTGACAGCACTAAAACATAAATTATTTACTTTTAGACTTACAAATATGTATGAATCTTTCGGAATTGGTCGCATTAATATTTTGATTTTATTGTATTAAACTGACCTTATGCACAGCTACACAAATTCCTGGACTTAAGCCAGCTCCTTGTTTCCCGTCTGCCATTATTGGCCGAACTTGATTAATTCAGGTGTGTCTGATTATTGTTGCCGTGTTCATCTGCTTCATCACAGAATGGCAAATACTCTTTACATACTGTTTTAACTTCAGAGATCTGTGTCAGTTGATGTGCGTTTTTAGGGCTGTGAAACGATTAATCGTGATTATCCAAAATAAAAGTTTGAGTCTACATAATATATGTGTGTACTGTGTATAATTATGTTGTATAAATACACACACATGCATGTAGTCACATCAAGTGACTAACTCATATTTAATGAATTTTAAATATGAATATTACATCAAATGAATGCATATTTCATTTCATTGTGTTTGCTTTTTTGAGCAAAAATCTAAACGCACATGGTTTGGAATCCAGACCTAAGGCTGTTCTCTTTTTAAAACCTTTCTAATTATACCTAATTTATGATTACTAAAATAAGTGATAGGGAAAAAGGCGCAAAAACAATTATGCTAAGGTTAAGCTTGAGGGATGTACGAGGACAGTCACAATTATAGTGCATTTATATTGATGACAGCCAGTGGCGTCAGATCCGCACACACACACACCGTGTCCTCTAGGGTTTCTCACCGACAGCTCAGCACAGTCACAGATGCTGCTGAATCTCCTGAAATCTCATCTGGATCCAGATGCTCAATACGGCAGTCACACACACACACCATCTGAGTCTCAACTGCAAAATGAACTAACACTTTAACCATTAAAAGAAACAATTCTGGCTTGATGGCAGTGTTGATGTGCAGGCTATTTTATTAAGTTATTATTAATTATTGTGGGTTTTATGATTTTTTTTGGTAGATTTTCCCCCTTTCTTAACAGTATACAGAAAAACAGAAAAGATAATGCACACTTTAAAAAGACATCACAATAAACATAAAGGTCTTTCAAAGTTGTTATAGTACACTCAAAGAAGTGAACTAGGAAGGTTGTGCACTTTACATAATATTTATATTTAGCTTACTTATAATAATTGTGTTTTTTTACTTGAAATGTTGTTTTTTTTCTATTGAGGTAATTATGTAATTATGTCTCAAACTTAACAGTACAAAATCCTAACGTGTTGTCTAAACACAAACCATTTATGTTAAGAAAAAAATTCTTACATCCAGACAGTGGCATATAGTGCGAGTCAACTGCCATTTTAACCGAACTTAATTTGATTGTGTTCAATCTGCTTAAATATATAAGTTAAGTTTACTTAATCCGTTTGTGTTTGCTTACATGATTGATTTGTGTTGCATCAACTGAAACTGGGCGGTGTTTATTAGTTCC